ACACGATGTCTGCCATCTGCCCGGTACAGTTCAAACTGCGATTAATCCATGAAGAGCACACTTGACGGATGCCAGTGGCCATCGATGGTGAGCATTTGCCCACTGCAGTCAGGTCAAGACCCTGGTGAGTACGACGAGCACGCAGATGAGCTTCCCTGACATGGTTTCTGAAATTCTTCAGTTGTGCAAACCCAGAGTTTCATGAGCTGTCCGGGTGGCTGGTCTCAGACGATCCTGCAGGTCAAGAAGCCGGATGTGGACGTCCTGGGCTGGCGTGGTTACACGGGGTCTGCGGTTGTGAGGCTTGTTGGACGTACTGCCAAATAAAAATAAATGACTTTGGAATCAGCTTATGGTAGAGATATGAACATTCAATTATCTGGCAACAGCTTTGGTGGACATTCCTGCAGTCAGCATGCCAATTGCACTCTCCCTCAAAACATGAGTAATCTGTAGCATTGTGTTGTGTGACAAAACTGCACATTTTAGAGTGGCCTTTTATTGTCCCCAGCACAAGGCTTCTTGATATGCCACACCTGTCAGGTGGATGGATTATCTTGGCAAACGAGAAATGCTCACTAACAGGGATGTATACAAATTTGTGCCAATTTTTTTTTAGAAATAAGCTTTTTCTGCGCGGAAAATTTCTGTGATCTTTTATTTCAGCTCATAAAACATGGGACCAACACTTTACATGTCGCGTTTATATTTTTGTTCAGACTTTTTTCCGTCATAAAAGTGTATTGAAATTCCTTAGGAACTGTGCACACTTTGGAGAGGTGTGTGGCCACTTTGAGACACCAGTTAGTCCTCTCACTCAAACCCTTGTCATTTTTTTGTCTTATGTTGCACCTACCCCACATTTTCCAGAAATATTCTTATCATGTTACTGAATGTATCCAGAGTGAATACTGTATTATTTACTGTGGTATTTACAGTTTACTATAGTATAAATCCTGTAGTAAAAAAAGAGTAATACACTATATATACAAAAGTATGTGGACACCCCTTCAAATTTGTGGATTCGGCTGTTTCAGCCACACCCTTTGCTGACAGGTGTATAAAATAGAGCGCATAGTCATGCAATCTCCATAGACAAACATTGGCAGTAGAATGGCCTTACTAAAGAGCTTAGTGACTTTCAACGTGGCACCGCCATAGGATGCCACCTTTCCAACAAGTCAGTACGTCAAATTTCAGCAGATGGTGAATCTCGCTTCACCATCTGACAGTCCGATGGAGGAATCTGGGTTTAGTGGATGCCAGGAGAATGCTACCTGCCCCAATGCATAGTGCCAACTGTAAAGTTTGGTGGAGGAGGAATAATGGTCTGGTTCAGGCTAGGCCCCTTAGTTCCAGTGAAGGGAAATCTTAACGCTACAATATACACAATGACATTCTAGGACGATTCCGTGTTTCCAACTTTGTGGCAACAGTTTGGGGAAGGCCCTTTCCTGTTTCAGCATGGCAATGCCCCCGTGCACAAAGCGAGGTCTATACAGAAATGGTTTGTCGAGATCAGGAAGGAAGAACTTCATTGCCTGCACAGAGCCCTGACCTCAACCCCATGGAACACCTTTGGGATGAATTGGAACGCCGACTGCGAGCCAGGCCTGATCGCCCAACATCAGTGCACGACCTCACTAATGCTCTTGTGGTTGAATGGTAGCAAGTCCCCGCAGCTAGTGGAAAGCCTTCCCAGATGAGTGGAGGCTATTATAGCAGCAAAGGGGGGACCAACTCCATATTAATGCCCATGATTTTGGAATGAGATTTTCGACGAGCAAGTTTCCACATACTTTTGGTCATGTAGTGTATATACCATAGTAATTACTGTAGTGTTTTTGCAGACTGTAATGTAATGTAGTTTTTTTTTTTTTCACCTTTATTTAACCAGGTAAGCCAGTTGAGAACAGGTTCTCATTTACAACTGCGACCTGGCCAAGATAAAGCAAAGCAGTGCAATAAAAACAACACAGAGTTACATATGGGGTAAAAAAAAATAAATAATAATAATAATAATAATAATAAAAAAATAAAAAAATAAAAACATAAAGTCAAAAAGTATTTACTGTAGTGTTTTTGCGGACTGTAGTATACTGTAGTATCTACTGTAGTTTTTGCGAACTGTAGTATACTGTAATATTTACTGTAGTGATTTGTGACATTACTGTAGTATTTACTATAGTGTTTTTGTTTTATCGTTGACATATACGTGTGGGGCTTTCTCCTTCAGGAAACCTACTGTAGAAATACTAAAAGAGCACATTTTCCATAACATGTAGGTAGGTAGGACTGGGTTTTGAATGGAGGGTTCAGCGCTTCTGCTCTTTTCTATAACCTATATGGGAACACAATATATGGTCTATACTTGGCATGTAGGTTTTTACAGAAATTGGGATACGGGGGAGGGGAATGGGCAGGGTACAGTGGGGGAAAAAAGTATTTAGTCAGCCACCAATTGTGCAAGTTCTCCCACTTAAGAAGATGAGAGAGGCCTGTAATTTTCATCATAGGTACACGTCAACTATGACAGACTAGAATAAACAATCCAGAAAATCACATTGTAGGATTTTTATTGAATTTATTTGCAAATTATGGTGTAAAATAAGTATTTGGTCAATAACAAAAGTTTCTCAATACTTTGTTATATACCCTTTGTTGGCAATGACACAGGTCAAACGTTTTCTGTAAGTCTTCACAAGGTTTTCACACACTGTTGCTGGTATTTTGGCCCATTCCTCCATGCAGATCTCCTCTAGAGCAGTGATGTTTTGGGGCTGTCGCTGGGCAACACAGACTTTCAACTCCCTCCAAAGATTTTCTATGGGGTTGAGATCTGGAGACTGGCTAGGCCACTCCAGGACCTTGAAATGCTTCTTACGAAGCCACTCCTTTGTTGCCCGGGCGGTGTGTTTGGGATCATTGTCATGCTGAAAGACCCAGCCACGTTTTATCTTCAATGCCCTTGCTGATGGAAGGAGGTCTTCACTCAAAATCTCACGATACATGGCCCCATTCATTCTTTCCTTTACACGGATCAGTCGTCCTGGTCCCTTTGCAGAAAAACAGCCCCAAAGCATGATGTTTTCACCCCCATGCTTCACAGTAGGTATGGTGTTCTTTGGATGCAACTCAGCATTCTTTGTCCTCCAAACACGACGAGTTGAGTTTTTACCAAAAAGTTATATTTTGGTTTCATCTGACCATATGACATTCTCCCAATCCTCTTCTGGATCATCCAAATGCACTCTAGCAAACTTCAGACGGGCCTGGACATGTACTGGCTTAAGCAGGGGGACACGTCTGGCACTGCAGGATTTGAGTCCCTGGCGGCGTAGTGTGTTACTGATGGTAGGCTTTGTTACTTTGGTCCCAGCTCTCTGCAGGTCATTCACTAGGTCCCCCCGTGTGGTTCTGGGATTTTTGCTCACCGTTCTTGTGATCATTTTGACCCCACAGGGTGAGATCTTGCGTGGAGCCCCAGATCGAGGGAGATTATCAGTGGTCTTGTATGTCTTCCATTTCCTAATAATTGCTCCCACAGTTGATTTCTTCAAACCAAGCTGCTTACCTATTGCAGATTCAGTCTTCCCAGCCTGGTGCAGGTCTACAATTTTGTTTCTGGTGTCCTTTGACAGCTCTTTGGTCTTGGCCATAGTGGAGTTTGGAGTGTGACTGTTTGAGGTTGTGGACAGGTGTCTTTTATACTGATAACAAGTTCAAACAGGTGCCATTAATACAGGTAATGAGTGGAGGACAGAGGAGCCTCTTAAAGAAGAAGTTACAGGTCTGTGAGAGACAGAAATCTTGCTTGTTTGTAGGTGACCAAATACTTATTTTCCACCATAATTTGCAAATAAATTCATAAAAAATCTTACAATGTGATTTTCTGGATTTCTTTTTCTCAATTTGTCTGTCATAGTTGACGTGTACCTATGATGAACATTACAGGCCTCTCTCATCTTTTTAAGTGGGAGAACTTGCACAATTGGTGGCTGACTAAATACTTTTTGTCACGGTTTCGGCCGAGGCTGCTCCTCCTCCTTGTTCGGGCAGGCTTCGGCGGTCATCGTCCCCGGAGTACTAGCTGCCACCGTTGTATGTTTTCGATGTTTGTTTGGTTTAGTCTTTTTGGTACACCTGTTTCCGTTTTGTGCTTATTATGTGTCCTATAAGTTCTCGTTGTTTGAGTCTTGTGTTGTGTGTAATTGTTCACCCGTCAGAAGGTGCAGTGTTTGTTTCCTCCATTGTTTGGAGAGAGATTTCCGCACTTGTGTGCACGCTATTTTTGGTGCTAGTGTTTTTACGCAGTGTGTGCGTAATTTCTTTTTGACTCCGGCTCTTGTTGTGGCCCGTTTGTTTTTCGTGACTAAAGCCTGTTGGACGAAGCCTCTGTGTCCTGCGCCTGATTCCTGCACCACATCCACATTCCACACTGACACTTTTTTCCCCCATTGTATATGGAAATGAAATACTGCAGTATTTATTATATTTAAATAAGTGTAGTGATTTTGCAGACATTTATGTAGTATTTACTACAGTGTTTTTGGGGGGATAATACTGTAGTATTTACTATAGTATTCTACAGTTTACTACAAATTTACTACACATGATCAAGGGATACTACAGTGTGTAGTATAGTATTATACAGTATACTACAGATTACTACAGAATTCTATAGTAAGTATACTAGTATTCTATAGTAAACTGTAATAATGTTTTATGTGGGGAGGTCCCCTGGGCTGTGGGCTGCAACGCCTGAATGGCTTCAATATCCAGCCATGTTAATTTTTTATGACCTAGATATTCAATTAGAAGGCTCTGTGTCATCTACTGGGTTATTGTATGAGACTGGTGCTTTATTGAGTGAACCACTGTTGATAACATGTGGTGTGACTGATAATGATGATCGTTAATGTACTGTACTGTAGTGGTTATGCATTGGAGTGGTTATCCATTTGCCTGTTTTCTGCCTGGTTGTGTCTGTGTAATCAGTGATGACGTGTCCTGACCCGGGGAACGTGGAGCACAGTCGGAGGATGGTGACGGGATCACGCTTCATGGTGGGATCGACGGTGCAGTATGTGTGTAATAAGGGATACTCCCTGTCTGGAAGCACACTGCTCACCTGCTACAACAGAGACTCAGCCAACCCCAAGTGGAGCGAGAGGCTGCCCAAGTGTAACCGTAAGTCGGGAAACTATATCTGGTCAAATACACACACACGCACGCACACACACACACAGTGTTGTTTCTTTTATTCAACCAGGATAGTCGTCCTCCTCTCTAACAATCAGCACTGTTTTTCAAAGAGTCAGCAGTATTCCTTTAGATAACTCAGAGAACTCTGTGCCAGAGGACCTTGTGGATGTTCTCAGTACGTTCAGCAAAGATTTAGCCTGAGGACATGCTGATTACTTTCATGCAATTTCTAGAAGCCCTCCAATAGCATTGATGACCTGTCAGCCCTACCTGCTTGCTCCCTGCCTCAGATAAAAGGTGGCCTTGTTGGAGAATGATCTATTGAGAGGAAGATGATGCATGATTTTGTGTTTTTTGTTGATGGTGGTGGAAGATGCTGTCTAAGGCGCCGCTCCAGAATCTCCCATAAGTGTTCAAATGGGTTGAGATCTGGTGACTCACACACACCCTTTAAACCCGCTATGCTCCTTTGAGACCCCTCTTTCAAAGTCACTGAGATCTCTTCTTCTAGCCATGGTAGCCAAAATAATGGCCAACTGGGCATTTTTATACATGATGGGATGTTCATTGCTTAACCTCTAAAAGTCTAAGCCATTAAACTAACATATGGAATTGTTTTAAGATGGTCATAGCATGGATCATTTAGCTACAGTGAGGGAAAAAAGTATTTGATCCCCTGCTGATTTTGTATGTTTGCCCACTGACAAAGAAATGATCAGTCTATAATTTTAATGGTAGGTTTATTTGAACAGTGAGAGACAGAATAACAACAAAAAAATCCAGAAAAACCCATGTCAAAAATGTTATAAATTGATTTGCATTTTAATGAGGGAAATAAGTATTTGACCCCCTCTCAAATCAGAAAGATTTCTGGCTCCCAGGTGTCTTTTGTACAGGTAACGAGCTGAGATTAGGAGCACACTCTTAAAGGGAGTGCTCCTAATCTCAGTTTGTTACCTGTATAAAAGACACCTGTCCACAGAAGCAATCAATCAATCAGATTCCAAACTCACCACCATGGCCAAGACCAAAGAGCTCTCCAAAGGATGTCAGGGACAAGATTGTAGACCTACACAAGGCTGGAATGGGCTACAAGACCATCGCCAAGCAGCTTGGTGAGAAGGTGACAACAGTTGGTGCGATTATTCGCAAATGGAAGAAACACAAAATAACTGTCAATCTCCCTCGGCCTGGGGCTCCATGCAAGATCTCACCTTGTGGAGTTGCAATGATCATGAGAACGTTGAGGAATCAGCCCAGAACTACACGGAAGGATCTTGTCAATGATCTCAAGGCAGCTGGGACCATAGTCACCAAGAAAACAATTGGTAACACACTACGCCATGAAGGACTGAAATCCTGCAGTGCCCGCAAGGTCCCCCTGCTCAAGAAAGCACATATACAGGGCCGTCTGAAGTTTGCCAATGAACATCTGAATGATTCAGAGGAGAACAGGGTGAAAGTGTTGTGGTCAGATGAGACCAAAATCGAGCTCTTTGGCATCAACTCAACTCGCTGTGTTTGGAGGAGGAGGAATGCTGCCTATGACCCCAAGAACACCATCCCCACCATCAAACATGGAGGTGGAAACATTATGCTTTGGGGGTGTTTTTCTGCTAAGGGGACAGGACAACTTCACCGCATCAAAGGGACGATGGACGGGGCCATGTACCGTTAAATCTCGGGTGAGAACCTCCTTCCCTCAGCCAGGGCATTGAAAATGGGTCGTGGATGGGTATTCCAGCATGACAATGACCCAAAACACACGGCCAAGGCAACAAAGGAGTGGCTCAAGAAGAAGCACATTAAGGTCCTGGAGTGGCCTAGCCAGTCTCCAGACCTTAATCCCATAGAAAATCTGTGGAGGGAGCTGAAGGTTTGAGTTGCCAAACGTCAGCCTCAAAACCTTAATGACTTGGAGAAGATCTGCAAAGAGGAGTGGGACAAAATCCCTTCTGAGATGTGTGCAAACCTGGTGGCCAACTACAAGAAACGTCTGACCTCTGTGATTGCCAACAAGGGTTTTGCCACCAAGTACTAAGTCATGTTTTGAAGAGGGGTCAAATACGTATTTCCCTCATTAAAATGCTAATCAATTTATAACATTTTTGACATGGGTTTTTCTGGATTTCTTTGTTGTTATTCTGTCTCTCACTGTTCAAATAAACCTACCATTAAAATTATAGACTGATCATGTCTTTGTCAGTGGGCAAACGTACAAAATCAGCAGGGGATCAAATACTTTTTTTCCTCACTGTAGCTAAATGATCCATGCTATGACCATCTTAAAACAATTCCATATGTTAGTTTAATGGCTTAGACTTTTAGAGGTTAAGCAATGAACATCCCATCATGTATAAAAATGCCCAGTTGGCCATTATTTTGGCTACCATGGCTAGAAGAAGAGATCTCAGTGACTTTGAAAGAGGGGTCTCAAATGGAATAAGGTTTTTAAGTGTCTGTCCTATATCTAGGAGATATAAGAAAGCTCAGGAAATATATATATATAAATATTTTTTACACATATTTAACCCCTTATATTTGTTTTCACAAAACTACCTCCATACTTCCATTGATTTGTATGGGTTACCTTCAGACGAGTCCCGTGATGCTTGTGGTGGGTCGTAGAGCAAAACGGAGAACACCATCGTGTTCGTGAGTCTCATCTTTCCATAGAGGGGTCATATTAGTTAGTAGGCCAAACAGACGTTTTTGTGAGAAGACCGATTTTCGGGATGTCACCGCTCTAGCTCTGCCACTTTCCACCGCAGATGCGGAAGGGTGGATTGAGACGCAGCCCAGGCAAAAAAACTGATATCTCTAGTTTAAACTGACAGATTTCTATGGGGATGTTTTATTATGTTAATTAGATTGACACACCGGTGCGTCAATATACTCTTAGGGATTAATTAACTCAGAAACCACACCTGTGTGGAAGCACCTGCTTTCAATATACTTTGTATCCCTCATTTACTGAAGTGTTTCCTTTAATATGGCAGACCTGTAGCTGCCTTGTGTAAGTAAGTGGTGGCAAGCTGTACTGATGTTAGAAATTATACATGTAATAAGGGTACTCTGCTGTCTAAGAAATATAGAGACAACCATAGTGACAGCCATGGTGTGTGTATGACTGTGTGTCCTGGGCAGCTGAGAAGTACGAGCCCTGCAGGAACCCTGGTGCCCCCTCCACCAGCGTGCAGAGCTCAGAGAAAGCCTTCTACCAGGCAGGGGAGACCCTGAGCTTCTCCTGCCGTACCAGCTATGAGCTGCAGGGGGAGCCCACCATCCGCTGTGTCCCTGGACACCCATCACAGTGGAGCAGCACACCACCCACCTGTAGAGGTACACTGTCTGCTCTCAACTTCTAATAACTTATGATGCCCAGTTCCATGATGTGTAAAATGATCAGGGTAATTGCTTTTCTTTTTTTCCAGCATCCTCTTTGCAGTATTTGAATGAGCGCAAGTTGGATGGTAAGTACAGTATATCAGCTAATTGTAACCACAGTGTGAAGTATTATGATGCCATTAGGAGATATACACTACATGACCAAAAGTATGTGGACACCTGCTCGGCGAACATCTTTTTCCAAAATCATAGGCATTAATATGGAGTTTGCTGCTATAACAGTCTCCACTCTTCTGGGAAGGCTTTCCACTAGATGTTGGAATATTGCTGCGGGGACTTCAGCCACAAGAGCATTAGTGAGGCGGGCACTTATGTTGGACGATTAGGACTGGCTCGCAGTTGGCGTTCCAATTCATCCCAAAGGTGTTCAATGGGGTTCAGGTCAGGGCTCTGTGCAGGCAGGTCAAGTTCTTCTACACCGATCTCGACAAACTATTTCTGTATGGACCTCGCTTTGTGCATGGGGGCATTGTCATGCTGAAACAGGAAAGGCCTTCCCCAAACTGTCGCCACAAAGTTGGAAGCATAGAATCATCCAGAAAGTAATTGTATGCTGTAGCGTTAAGATTTCCTTTCACTGGAACTAAGGAGCCTGAACCATGAAACCCAGACCATTATTCCTCCTCCACCAAACTTTACAGTGGGCACTATGCATTTGGGCAGGTATCGTTCTCTTAGCATCCGCCAAACCCAGATTCGTCCGTCAGACTGCCAAATGGTGAAGTGTGATTCATCATTCCAGAGAACGCATTTCCACTGCTTCAGAGTCCAATGGCGGCAAGCTTTACATCACTCCAGCCGACGCTTGGCATTGCGCATGGTGATCTTAGGCTTGTGTGTGGCTGCTCGACCATGGAAACCCATTTCATGAAGCTCCCGACGAACAGTTATTGTGCTGACGTTGCTTCCAGAGGAACTCGGTAGTGAGTGTTGCAACCGAGGACAGATGATTTTTATGCGCTATGCACTTCAGCACTCGGCAGTCCCGTTCTGTGAGCTTGTGTGGCCTACCACTTCGCGGCTGAGCCTTTATTACTCCTAGACATTTCCACTTCACAATAACAATAACAGCACTTATAGTTGACCGTGGCAGCTCTAGCAGGGCAGAAATTTGACGAACTGACTTGTTGGAAAGGTGGCATCCTATGACGGTGCCACGTTGAAAGTTACTGAGCTCTTCAGTAAGGCCATTCTACTGCCAATGTTTGTCTATGGAGATTGCATGGCTGTGTGTTCGATTTTATACACCTGTCAACAACGGGTGTGGCTGAAATAGCCGTATCCACATACTTTTGTATATATAGAGCACTTATGCTGTACTTATTTCAGGTCATTTCTAGTTATGCATGTTTCATGTTTCTTTTCAGTTGCTAGTCCTGACTACGATATGGAGGGAACCAACATTGCCATCGCCGTTCTGATTCCTGCTGCGGTTGTGTTGGTAGTCATCCTAGGGATTTACCTCTACTTTGCAAAGTGAGTATGAGAATGAGAGATAGGGAAGTAACTACATAACACTCATCAATTGCTAATTTAGTTAAATGCCTCAGAGCAGTTGAGACTCTGTACAAGAGTGCTTGTGTGTCTCTCTGTCCCTCTCAGACTTCAGGGGAAGACCATCAGAATGCCAACATCATCCTTGCCACCGTATGACAACATGACAGAGGAGTCAGCCTTCAACAACCCAATCTATGATACAGGAGTAAGTACGGATGTCATGCACATGAATCTCCGAGATGTGGACTCCCAGAATACCATTGTCCTGTCCTGATCCATCTCATCGCCATCTGCCTGCCTGTCATCTCATGTCTTACCAGCAGAGGGCACCATCTCCCACCCTAGCCACCAGAGCTGAGCCTCTCAATTTGTGGTCTTGTGTTGAATGCAGACAAGCACAAGTACCAACCATCTGGCTCTCGAGGTCTACTACTTAGCTTTGAAGTTTGGAAGCTCTACAGTCTACTTAGCTGTGAAGCTTCAAAGCACTACAGTCTACTTAGTTTTAAAGCTCTAAAATATGTGTTTTTGCATGAGTATCACATCCATTTTCAGTGGATCAATAGGACTGCAAAAGCACTCCATCAGTGGACTGGATAGGGGGCAGATGTAGTACACAGATGCGTTTACATTTGTGATGACCTTACATTTGCAATTTTGAGCTTGACAAAGTGCTTCTGTTCTGACTATGTTCCTGGAGAGATGATGAATGTAATATTGTATGAAGGGGGTGAAAAATATTTATGTTAAAATCCTTAATATCAGTGTCAGCTTCAAAGACACTTTAAAGCTCATCCATCATTGTGTCATTATCATGTCATTCACATGTGATTAAGTTGTGCAGTCATTGAGTCTGAACAAAAATATAAACGCAACATGCAACAATTTCAAAGGTTTTACTGAGTTACAGTTCATATAAGAAATCAGTTAAATTAAATAAATTCATCAGGCCCTAATCTATGGATTTCACATGACTGGGAATACAGATATGCATCTGTTGGTCACAGATACCTTCTTTTTTTTTAAGTAGGCACATTGATCAGAAAACCATTCAGTATCTGGTGTGACCAGCATTTGCCTCATGCAGCATAACACATCTGATTCTCATAGAGTTGACCAGGCTGTTGATTGTGGCCTGTGGAATGTTGTCCCACTCCTTTTCAATGGCTGTGCGAAGCTGCTGGATATTGTCTGGAACTGAAATACGCTGTTGTACACGTCAATCCAGAGCATCCCAAACATGCTCAACGGGTGACATGTCTGGTATGCAGGCCATGGAAGAACTGGGACATTTTTAGCTTCCAGGAATTGTGTACAGATCCTTGCGACATGGGGCCGTGCATTATCATGCTGAAGCATGAGGTGATGGCGGCGGATGAATGGCACGACAATGGGCATCAGGATCTCGTCATGGTATTCAAATTGCCATCGACAAAATGCAATTGTGTTCGTTTTCTGTAGCTTATGCCTGCCCATACCATAACCACACCGCCACCATGGCGCACTCTGTTCACAAAGTTGACATCAGCAAACCGCTTGCCCACATGACGCCATACACGATGTCTGCCATCTGCCCGGTACAGTTGAAACTGCGATTAATCTGTGAAGAGCACACTTGACGGATGCCAGTGGCCATCGATGGTGAGCATTTGCCCACTGCAGTCAGGTCAAGACCCTGGTGAGGACGACGAGCACGCAGATGAGCTTCCCTGAGACGGTTTATGACAGTTTTTGTAGAAATTCTTCGGTTGTGCAAACCCACAGTTTCATCGGCTGTCCGGATGGCTTGTCTCAGACGATCCCGCAGGTGAAGAAGCCGGATGTGGAGGTCCTGGGCTGGCATGGTTGCACATTATCTGCGGTTGTGAGGCCGGTTGGACGTACTGCCAAATTCTCTAAAACGACGTTGGATGCGGCTTCTGGTAGAGAAATGAACATTAAATTCTCTGGCAACATCTCTGGTGGACGTTCCTGCAGTCAGCATGCCAACTGCACGCTCCCTCAAAACTTGAAACATCTGTGGCATTGTGTTGTGTGAGAAAACTACACATTTTAGAGTGGCCTTTTATTGTCCCCAGGACAAGGTGCACCTGTGTAATGATCATGCTGTTTATTCAGCTTCTTGATATGTTCTCCTGTCAGTTGGATGGATTGTCTTAGCAAAGGTGAAATGATCACTAACAGGGATGTAAACAAATGTGTGCACAACATTTTAGAGAAATCAGCTTTTTGTGCATATGCAACATTTCTGGGATATTTTATTTCAGCTCATGAAACATGGGACCAACACTTTACATGTTGCGTTTATATTTTTGTTCAGTATAGTTTGAATTTCTTTTGAAATGTATACACATATGGACCCTTTTATGAATAATGGGTATTAAATCACATGGGCTATAACAAATGACAATGTGCAATAATAGACACTATTTATATTTACACTTAGTATTTACATTACTTTTATGTGCTGCACTTGAGAACATTATCAGAGCACTTCAAATACCAACTAAAAACCCTTAGATTTGACATTGAGTCTCAATAATTATTGTACTTGGTTTACACATTTCTTTGTTCATGAGTCCTTCATATCTACATCATTTTGTGTACAAATATGTTTTTTATTTGGTCAGTTAAACGTATTTGCTTTATTTGATGTAAGTGTTGGATTTGTTGTGAAATGTCACAGGCACACACTGTGTAATAAACATGATGCCACCATATCTATCATTGTGTTATGTTAATCTATTCATCAACTCTGTTACAAATGTAACAGTGATGCATATCATGCTCTTAAAAACGATCTCCCTTGATTCAAAATATTGTGTGGGGGGAATGTCCTATTAGTTAAGCAGGTGTTCAGACTGGGCTGTGTGACGTGAGCGGATGCTGTTCCGGACTTCATTTTGACTGGACCATACTCTCCTCGCCCTCCTCTTCCTCCCATGAGCCCTGGCAGGTGTTCTGTGATTACTAATGACTGTCTGTCTGTCTGTCTGTCTGTCCCTCCTTGGCTGCCTGCAAAAGAACAATGAGGTGAGGCCTTCTTCTGATGCCGACTGTCCATCTTAAAGAGCATACCTCATATCCACCTCACCCACTGTATCACCTGTCACTGCACCCACTGTACCAAACTGGTGTCAACATTTCAGTCAGCACTTTGTGGGGTTAATGGGTTACTCACCACTGAGCTCCCTGACCCACACTAACTTCATTGCTCTCTCTTTTTCTCTTTCTCTCTCTCGCTCTCTCTCTCTCAAATAGTTACTATTAACATTAATTGGGAAAGAAAATACCTTTACATAACATCTCACTGTTGATAATGAAAGTAAAGTATGGGGTGGCAGTGAAATGACTGAGGAACTGAAGTGTTATGACACAGAGTAAGAACTTTTGCCCAGTAAGAACCTTTGATGAGTGTGTTTGTCTGGTCTTCACAGGAAAAAATAGATTATGAGGTGACCATTTAGAGACCTTACAGCGAGGGGAATTCAACCGTTGCTTTTTGGGACCTCTCATCTTCCCTGCGATGACTTCAGCTCCTATTCCTCACTCCTCTTCATTCCCTCCTTTTTGTGGGCTTTTTGTAAATATCCATCTTTCCAGAGGACTTCTACCAGAGCTGCAAAGTTTGTGTAAAGGTGGTGGATCAACATGGTGTTATTTTTGTAGAGCTTCAACACAGATGGCCTTTCTTTAGTGTTTGTACACTGTTTATTTCATAAGCCCAGGACTGGTTACATTATGGGGGAGAGGGATACGTTACGTTTAATTGGTTAAGGTTTTGAAGTTGTACATGATAAATCTGAAGAACGAATGTACCGCTAATGAGTTGGCAAAGGTCTTGAAATATACAATATACATGACAAATACATTATGACCCGCAGTTGACTGAACATTGTCCAAATATCAATTTCACATTTACCCTAAGTGAATTATTTTTTTTTGCTACTATAATATCACCAACCATGTCTATAGCTATATGTTTTTTTTTAAATATAATTTCGTAAATAAACTGCCTGTCTAATATGAGGGCGTCTGAGACTTGAGGAACCAAATTAGCGTTCTGTTCAAATTTGACTCACTGTTTTGTTGAGACATGTCCTGTGCTAAAACAACTATAAAATACATCAGAGAAATGTATAGGCCACAGTGTTAAGCTCCCCTTCATGGCCGATATAGAGTGGGTAAATACTCCACTATCTCCTTGGTTAAACTAATGTCAAATCCCAACAGCTTTCTCTTGAGAGTATGCATCAATTTAATGAAAAGGAGGCCATGAAGACATGTCCTGTGCTAAAATGCCATCTAAAATCCCATCTTCTACAAAGTGCTGTTCTGTAATGTACACAAACTTCATGTACATAAGAATGCTCATGGGCCACTCTCTACCAGCCCTTGTTAGTGCTCTCATTAGTTTCTGTCTCTCCACACAAGAAATTGACTGCTTAAAGTATTGAACTGTAACCACAACACTTGTTGACATCAAAGAGCATGTCAGATATTCAAACTATGTGTACTTTTCTTCTCTTTGTAAAATAAACATTCCATCCAGTCCAATCTGAGTTTGCAAGTTACAACAGGTTTTATTTTGACTGTTTATCTTTGTCGTTGTCTCTATAAATGTTAAATTTACTCACATCTTTGGTTTCATTATGTCTCTTCTCTTATGTCTCTCTATATAGTACAAACTGATGATTGCCCAAAAAATTGTACATTCAGAGTAAGTTGTAAGGCGGGTGTATATTTTATTACTCAAAATCTGAATTAAAAGAACTGCATTACTGTGAAATATTCCCCCGAGAGTTAGACTACAGTGCATTCGGAAAGTATTCAGACCCCATGACTTTTTCCGCATTTTGTTACATTACAGCCTTATTCTAAAATGGATGAAATTGTTTTTTCCCCTCATCAATCTACAAACAATACCCCATAATGACAAAGCAAAAACTGTTTTTTATTTTTGCACATGTATAAAAAAAAAAAAACTGTAATAGAACATTTACATAAGTATTCAGACCCTTTACTCAGTACTTTGTTGAAGCACCTTTGGCAGCGATTACAGCCTCGAGTCTTCTTGGGTATGACGCTACAAGCTTGGCACACCTGTATTTGGGGAGTTTCTCCCATTCTTCTCTGCAGATCCTCTCAAAATCTGTCAGGTTGGATGGGGAGCGTCGCTGCACAGCTCTTTTCAGGTCTCTCCAGAGATGTTCCATCGGGTTCAAGTCCGGGCTCTGGCTAGGCCACTCAAGGACATTCAGATACTTGTCCTGA